GGAATCTTATGGTTAAGAGTTCTTCCCATTATCTATACCCTGTGAGATTAATTATTGAGCTGGGATGATTTCCAATAGCATTAAAATAGGAAGTAGAGCATACCATTTTTGCATAGCAAAACATGTACTATTTTTGTATAGCATGTTTTCTTTTGAGAGTTTTTTGGATACATTTCAAAGAGAATATAAATCCCAAGCATGGTTTTATCGGTCTGAGCCATGTACTCTTTAGCTGGGGTCCTGTTAGTCATGTTTTGAGGTGTTAGTGGCTCTATCTGCTGAAGTCTTTCAACCTGCCCAAGCCTGTTGTGTTGCTACAGTGTGAGAAGGCCTTGCTGCAAGACACTGGAAGAATGGATGTGGGAGATCTTTTGCTTGATGAAATATTAAGGGTTGAGAGGGAGAGGCAGGGGCAAGGGATAATTCTCTATGGTAGCGAGCTGTAAGTTAGAAAACAAAAAAAATCCATCTGTTAGGGAGCTGTGATTGGTACCTGTCAGTACCAACTACCATAGAGATTTTTCCATCTCCAAGATGAGGATCAGAGGAACATGCAGGGGAACACAGCTCTTGGGCCAGACCAGACACAGCCATCCTATCCACACAACACCTAGTACAACACAGAGGCACAGCTCCACTCTTTTGGTGGATAACCCTCTCACTGATCACATACTGCAAGCCCCTTGAATAGGACTCTGTTCAGAGAGAGCATTGCACTGCAGAGAAGTATGGCCTGACTCAGATTTATGTCTAAACCACATTAGACCATTTTGGCAGTGCCAGCAGGTCAATCAAGTGGATATAAATGGGAGTCAGCATTTGCGACAGCTCTAAAAGAACAAGGAAAGCTCTGGCAGCTGAGCAGTGACTATTCATCCTGCAGTGAAAATTTTCTTTCCTTTATTTTCATTGGTACATTGTGTAATTTATATGGCAGCTTGAGTGTTTGCGATGCTTTGTAACAGATAAAACATTCTACTAACCATGAAGGGAAATAAGACTTGAAGAGACAGAGAAGAGTGCAGGTGGAAAGGATGCTTCAAACATATAGAGAAGAGATGGGAAAAAAGCCGCTGATGAAATTAAAGAAGGTATTCAGTGGCATGGGAAATGAAATTGTGACAGCACTGGTGCATGCTTATGGAGCAGAATACAAGAGAAGAAAGACTGAAAACAAAATTGCATTATCTTGAAGAGAAATAGAAGAGGGGAGTAAAATTAAGGGTAGCAAATAATCTTGGTGGAGAGGGGAACTGACAGCAGTGTTGACCAATAGAAAGGAGAGGCTGTCAGTAACGGACAAATATGTGCTGCTTAAGTCTGTTTTAAATCAATCATGGAGGAAATAATTTCCTGAACTTAAATATGGTAGAGCTGCTAGAGCCTGGACATCCGTGCAGAAGCAGGTTGGTCAGGACACAGAACTGTCTGCTCAGCAAAGTGAACAAAGGAGAGAATATACAATGTCTTTCTACAACTTGACAAAACAGAGAAGGTTTGAAGAGAAGAAGAATTTGTGAGCAAAACAGTCTAGAAAGGATGGGCTCTCTTTCTTTCCCCCCCTAAACAATATCTAGTGTCTGCATGAAATAAAAATTTAGATTATAAAGCATTTTCAAAGTCCAAACTGTCTTGATGTACTAACCCTGTGCTATATTGCTAGGAAGGATGCAGGAAACAGCATTTTCTAAGTAAAATGAAGGATATTAGTGAATGTTACGCAATGTCCTCATTGCTAGAAATAGTGATAGATAATTGTAGTAGGATGTTTATGTAACTCTCCACAAATCAGTTTTATTTGTACTAAGTCACTGCTTAATAAAACTTAGAATTCACATGGCATGAAGTGTTGTTTATTAGGAAAATAATTTGGATTTTTGATGTATGCCTTAGAAGCCTCATCCTTTCAGAGCCATTCTGAGTGTGCTACCATTGTTCCTTATTTAGTTTTAAGGGAAATATCTGGTTTTTATCAGCTTTCTCCCTGTTGTTCTGGGGATTTCTGACTGACAGCTACATTCTTTTTCTTGATAAGTATGAATGAGAGATCATCTTAATGCATTAAAGTTAAATACAGATTGAAGATAACTCCACCCACATTCAAAACACAGAGATGTTCCATCAATTCTGTTTCAACTGTGTTGAAAATTCTCTGCTTCTATCAGGGTGACTCAGTTCACTCTTTCAAATAGGCTGAAGAGGCTCAAAGTATTTTATTTAACATCTCTGACTTTGCTGAGACTTTGCTAATCAATATTACTTCTGCCTTGTACAATTAGGTCACCTTAGTATTTTCTCAGCTTTAAATTTACTTTGAAGAAATCACACAGAATCAATTCAAAGTAGATCAGATATGTGTGTGAGCTATTCATCTTTAAAACTGTGCTCTTTTCCAAGAGATGGTCATTTGCTTATCATGGGAAAATCAAAGCTGCTTGTCATCTGAATGGAGCAACGAAAATACATTCAGCTTAACAAGGAACAGAAGCTGCCTATTTGTGATCTGTTTACTTTTAAAGTCTGCTTGATTAAATCTTTTGTTAATTTTACTAAAGCAAATAAATGACACTGAAGCTTTCCTAAGGGAAGTCATATTTGCCAGTTTTGTTTTCCTATGGTGTGTTGACAGTGGAGGCTTAGGAATTTTTCATCCATTTTGACAACGGTTATAGCTATAGTAAAAGCAGTATTACATTGTATGTATTTTTTAAGTGGTAAAATATGGAATATTCACAAACTCTTTCCCTGCATTCATCATCATGTTAGTTGAATGTTTAGAGATGCAAATTTGTAACTATTGCCAAATGAGCACCAGTTTACTTAATCACACTCTGCATCTGTCTCTTCTTCTGATGGGTGAGGTAACTAATAAATTACTTAAGGGTGATAGGCATAATATGCCTACACCCACAGCATGGGGCATGGAATATGCAACTTGGTATTTGTTGTAAAGAACATAAGGCAAGTCACACTCATTGGCTGAGAGGTGGAAGGCTGAAGTCCACACTGGGAGAAAATGATGCTGGACAGCTTTGAGCACAGATGAGCTGCCCATGTCTCCAAACGTTTTGAATCTTATCTTGTCTTGTGGGATTTATGTGTCAGACTGCTCTGCATCAAAATTACAGTATGCTGTCACACAGCTTTTTACTTCTAAGATAGGAAAGGTTAAAGAAGTCAAAGAAAAACTCATTCTTTCTCAGCTGTAATACTAAGAGGAACATTGTAATGTTAACCAAGTGTTTAGGCAGGTCTATGCATAGCTATGCAGCCTTGCCACCAAACATGTTTTCCTGTATCATTTACCGGAGGGGTAAATTCTTTCACTTTCTCTTTGCTATTCCGCCAGTATACATACCTTTCTACCTGTCATCTCAATACATTTACCCCTATTCTTTTTAGAAGCATGTTTTTATTGAAGGCAAATGTGATATTTTTCCATCCATGGTTTCAAAACTGTAGCCCTCCATTTTCCCAGGATAGCTGTGAAGACCCTCTAGATGGGTTCTGTAGTGCATTGTCACCTGAGCCATTCAATATTTCTTTGCACATCAAGGTCTCTTTTAACAGGTTATTTTGTTTCTGCATTTAAAGCAGAACAATTTTGTAAATAGAGGAAACATTGTAGAACTGAATTAATTAAATACTCTTTTTAACTCATCTTCAGGTCTCTAATTTCTTTCTAGAAGTCATAAATAATTTATTGCTTTGAACATTTGCTAGAATAGAATCTACATTCTTTCAGATGGTGGATTTAGTAGATTCCTGACTCCCACATCATGTTTTGCAGAAATATAGTTTCCTTTTAACTTGAAGTTTCTCTGGCTCAAGAGAATGCCTCATTGACATTGTGCTGAACAAAATAAAATGAAAAAACCCCAATCTTTCTGCACTTTCTGAGGAAGATGAATCAGCCAGCACACTGGTTCTAACTCCAGTGGCTTTTTCTTGGTTTCATTTTTTTTCTGCTTTCTTTAAAATATTGGTAATAACTATTCACTGTCTGAATGTTACTGTTAAGTATGTTCCTAAACCACAATATAGGTAAGTTTTAATGTAAGTTGCCATAATTTCACACTTGATTTTAGTTACATTTATTTTTTAAGAGGAGAAACCAATAGAATTAAATTACATATAATGTTTAAGATAACTTAGTTTGTCATGAGAAGAAGTCATCCACTGTTCTCTGCACTAACATTTATTCAAAATGCATGCTTATTATGCTACTTTAAACTTCATTGTATTTAAAATGTATTGTATTTAAAAGAATACAACAAAAGCACACTACTGTCTGTACCAGGGCCTTCAGATACAGCAATCTGTTGATGGTTAGCTTTGTTAAAGTGAACTGTCCCAATAACAGTCAATTTTACGGTGCAGCTGGTAAACGTCAAATTGATTTTTTTTTGTCCCAGTGGATGATCACTTTTAAATTGGATCTGTGCCTGTTGTGAAATTTCACATCATCAAACTATGTTCCTGAAATGCTGCACTTTCCAACCCTCTCTGCCTAATACAGGACAGCAACTTCTCTCGTTTTCCTGTTCTTAGTGAACTGAAAACCAGGTATTCTGGAGAATGTCTTTCTAATCATGCTGCAAGTACCTCTTACACTGGGGAAAAAGTTACACCCTTTGCATTGCCCCTCAGGAGCTCTTCCCAATGCATTGCTATTGCTTACACAAATCCCACAGAATGGCAGAAAGATGCAACTATTTGTTGGTAAGGCTGCCAGTTCATGGAGACTAATATAAACTAATATAAATACCGTTCAAAGATTTTTGCTGTGATCTTATAGTGTACATGACAGATTTTTGGGCTGGAGATGTGCTTGAGTATCATTTATAAAATGTCAGATTTTTCTTTCTTTTGACCATTGAACTGTGATCAATCCTTTAATACTTGTCTATCAGTATGAAACTTTTCATTTTGGACTAAATATTTCATAGGCTTCTTTTCACATTATCTGGAATTCATGCCTCTTTTTCTTTTACCTACAGCATTAACAACTTCCAGTTTCATCCTACAAACCAGGGAGAATTTTATGTCATCACAACAGGAAGCTTTGAAGAAGCAGTTCTGCTTGGATTTTATGTGCTTTCCATTGTCACATCATCATCAGAAACAAAAACACAGGAGCTGGTAAATAAATGGTAGCAGAAGATATATTCTTTTACTGAGATTTTATTTTGAAGAAGCATAATCCATCACTGGCTGTTTTCATTTCTAGGGGATGGTGAATCTGATGTGCTTGAGTAAGCACTCGTGTTCTTGAGTCAAACATCTCATCACTAAGTAAAACTAATCTGAAGACTTAGGCATGTTTTAAGGGTTTTCTATACTCTCTAGTCTATGTATTTCTGAGGGGGGGAAAAAAAGAACAAAAAAACCAAACCAAACCAAAAGCAACCACATACTGAAAAACTCAAACCCAATCAAAAATCAGAAAAAACAAGAGCCAGTGAATCTGAGAAAAACTAATCACTTCATCCCCATTTTGAAGACCCCAGATAGAATGAAAATTGACATTGAAAACTGCGGGCCTGCATCTCACCTCAACACTTTAATGTCTTCTATTTGCCTTCCCAACTCTTTGAAGAATAGTTTGGTTAAGCGGCAGAGAGACTCCCACTTCTAGGTGGAATCTTCGAGGTCTCTAGTTACTTTACCCAAGTATGTCATTGTGTAGTTAAGCTTTGAGTGTGTGAAAAGTCAGGCTAGCCTCAAAAAATTTCCACACATGAAGTAATTTTAACATGTACTTTTGTCATTTAAAGATTGCTTGTTTTTACTAAGTGGTTGTTGTGGTTCATGCTCACTGTTCACTGCAAGTTTGCAACAACGCTTAATAAAATAGATGCATAAAACTAAGTGGAAATCCAATTTTAACAAGAAGACACAGTCCTGCTAGAATATGGGTAGATGCAGATAATAGCAGACTCAGATATTAATTCAGCTTTAGACTGGATGGTGGGTGAATTTCCAGTGAACTGGGATGGTGAGTGAACTCCACTGAATTCAGACTTCGTCCTAGGAAGAAGATGTGGGTGAAAGACCTAGCAGGAACCAGAGCTGTGAATTATCCCTTGTGTTGGGGCTGTTCCTTTTTACTTCCATCAAATGTGAGGATAAGACCAGTGAGAATATTAACCTTTTCTACTCACTAGGCAGCATCTTCTTCATATTTGTTAAGCACTTAGAATTTAATTTAGTTCCTAAATTCTGACCTGAAGGATATGGGCTTTGCAAGCTCAGTCAAGTTTTTTTCTAGCTGTAGTAATTGACATGCAAAAAGAAGTTCTCCCTCTTTTCACAGACCTCTCTTCACCTATGTGCTCAATTACCTCAGCTGCAACTCTGACAGGTGTTGCCACTGTGACAGGGCTTTCCACCAATGACAGAAAATTCATGTTTTTGCAAGGCACTCCTTGGTGACTCTCACCTTTTAATAACCTGGAAAATTACTCAGTAGGTAAGAAGTGATGATTACCTTAAAATGCCTAAAGCAAGTATTCATTATAGTATTGTATTCTTCAAATTATACAACAAAAGTATTTGTGGTATATTTGCACAGAAAGTGAACAGGAGAATATACAGGAAAACTGTATCACAATAATGACTTAAAAACTTTGAAAGACTTTTATTCTTGATTAGTTAAAAAGTGGCTCACAACTTACATACAGAATGGATTTAGTGAACTTAAAAGTGTCCTCTGGATTTTGTTGTGGTTGGTTTTGTTTTGGAATTTTGCTTGCTTGTGAAAAAGTCATTTAACTTTTCTTACAATTTCTGACTGATCAGGTACAATGTACCAAAAGAGGCAAAATGCCTGTGTTTCTATGAGTTTAAGAGAAAGTTTTGGACTTTTTAAAGGAACTTTTTAGTGTAAACAGTATTTTTAAAGCTGCAAATATTTTGTTTACATCCAAACATCTCAAAACAACCTTTGAGAATTCTACCCACAGATTGATTACACAATTAAATTTTCTAAAAATCTGGACAGGAGGTGCAGAATAGTGTGTGTTTCTGAGGCTGAATTAGGAGATACCATTTTCATAGAATCTGAAAAGGGGTTAGCTATCTCTCTGTTACAGTTGTATGCCTACTAGTATCATCCTGTATATGTGTACTGAAATAGACAGACCCCCAGAATATGAAGAGGACTTGCCTAGTGACTCATGATTTTAGACCTGTTTCAGGTGAAATATATCCAAATGCAAATTACAGCATGAGGTGACACTGATGAAATTCTCCTAGCCATGAAGTCGTTAAAAGTGAATGGGTAGTATTCATCTGTGGTAATTTTTATCATGATGGAAGAGATATAAGTGATATCCTTAATTGATGCAACTTAAAAATAATTATAGCCATAAGATACTGCAGAAATAATTTGTTTTATTAGATGGTTAAGTTTCCTAAGAAAAACATATAATGTTTTCTAATGTAAGAATGGAGAGAAGTCAGTATTTTATTATGATGTGCTTTATTTTCAGTAAAGAGAGAAGTATTTTGTACTTTGTTATTTTGACTGAGGCATGGCAACTAATCTGTGGCATATAACAGCCCGACAGACAGCTTGTTATGTGCCTATCACTTCCCTACAGAGCATGCCTGACAATGCAACTATTCTGACTGCTAAATATCACAGGGGCTATTTCTCAGGAGTGCAATACTTGTGGCCCATCTTTAGCTTAGCACTGCAAAAGCTGCAAGTACTTGTAAGACTGCAAATAGACATAAGAAATTCATTGTAAGGTAACCAGGCATATGAATGAAAATCCATCATCTGCTATCTGTTCAAGACATGGAAATAACCCTCCTTCCTTCCCCACTAACCTCAAAAGCTACATTACATTCAAAGTCCTTGAATGATCCTATAATCATAATTTCAGTTTTCCAGGTCAAGGAAAGGAAAACAAGAAGGGTCAACATACAGCCCATAAAATAATAAGCAAAGCAGTAGCACTGATCTTATTCTTCTTGTTGTTTGAGAAAATGTCTCTTACCTCAGGGAGTGTTTATCCTGTCCTGTCTCATAAATAACCAGTCTTTTGCTCAGTTTTAACCAGATCTTTGAATGGAGGAAGATGTTTTCACTCTTATTGATCATCTGCCTGTCTATTTTAATTGGCATTTCTTCCTCTCCCATTCCAATTACTGTTTGCAGTTTTCAAGAAAGAGCAGTAAAAATGGAGACATCGGAAAAGTCAAGGGCAGTGCTACAACATTTCTGAAAATCAGATCCTGGGTGGTAGAGAGTATCAAATGACTACTTTATGGAGGGAATGGTGAGCAGAGTTCCACTCATATATTGCTTCCAGCACTGGCTGTCTGGGATACACCACCTGCTGTCCTTCATGGTGTGGAGGACTAGGCAGATGAGGAGTATGGAAGGAATTGGGTTTATTTCACTGAAACTGAGGAGAAGGTTATAGAGCAGCACATAAATGTCCTTAGAAGACAAAGCTTGCTTAGTCATAGCTTTTCTAGCACAGCTTGTTTCATTTCCTTAAATCATTTTACATGATGCATATACTTTCTGCTTTTGTCTTGCTTGAATTTGCCTAGCTTGTGTTCTGGGAGCCTTTTAAATCTGCCTTGAATGTAAGTTTGATTACTTCAGAAGGAAGTTCTTACAAGCAAAACTTGGATTATACAGGAACATATTTGTAAAAAATGCATTTACATTGCAGGAAAGCAAAATACAGCTGCACTCAGATAAGGATTGCTTCTTATTTCAGCTCTAATTTCCAGAGTTTCAGTGGTGGTTACATGCGTAGCTGATTAATGGCAGTGTTCTTTCATTGTGGCTAAAGGAAAGTTTGACTCTAAAGCTTATTAACTAGGATGACTCCTTATTTTAATTTCAAGGAAAATAGCATAACGATATGCGAGAGATCTCTGTGATCCTATCAGGCTGCCATCTCTCACTCACTTCTGCAGCTGTGGCTTCAAATGAGTGTTCTAAACTATTCAGGGCTTGTTATGCACTAGCCAACAGCCTAACAGGGAGCCTAAGACTGTAAGTGAAAATCACCTGTAAGGGTACTACTAATAGGAAATGGAACATTTAATGAACTTTCCCTCTGAGTAAATGAGAAACCCATTCTGGGCTTTTGTGGAGGTTGTGTGCAAATCACTTACATGACATTATATACTTCTGTCCAGTTTACTGGCTGGATTTGTTTTGGATATAAATTCCAGGAGGCCATCAGTCTCAGAAAATAAATGGCTGAAATTTGTGTTTCAAGCTCACTGGCGATCTGTTACTCTGTAAATATTCCTGGAAGAAGATCAAGTACACAGCAGCCAGGATTGCTATGTATTCTCAAACTGCAAATAAGTGGCAAGCAGTCTGGATACATGTTGTGCTGACTCCCATGTGGCAGGGGAATATCCCTGTCTGCTTCCTGATGCTTTGTCACATATGAACTGGTTCTTGGGAAAGACCAAAGGAACAAATGCCCATGTTGCTGGCAATTTACTTAGCAGATTTTCCGTGACTGTAACCAAAAGGGATCAGCAGGGAGTCTGCCTTGCCTTTCATCAAGGTTTAGCCCACTTTGCCATCCGACTTCGGCAAACAACCTCTTTCTTGTCAATGCCAGAAAAGTGATGCTGCTTGGGATTGAACAAGGCACAGCTATATCATTGGGTTTCAAAGCTGGATGTGGGGTTTGAGTCCGTGCTCTCCATGCAGATGCTTTTCTTTCACTAGCAACATATAATGTTACTACGCTTTTTTATTTATGTAACATGTGAAAGTCTGAAATGGTGTCAAGGTACAGCCAAAGCACAGGCTTAGGGGCAGTCCCTGCTGTTTTCTGGATGAGAAAGAGGTGTCAAGTCAGAAAATGTTTGTATTATATCAAGGGTGGTAAGAGGAAAGAGTGGTCAAACTGCCAATCTAAGGAAGCACATAGTGTCCCCAGGTTTTATGCTACACTGCGTTCCTGCAGAGAGACTCAAATCCCAGCTCTGGACATCTAGCTGAGAAGTAATGTACCTCCCAGCCACGGCACACATTCTGGTTCTCTTTGCAGAGTTCATGGCTGACTAGGTCCCTTGCCAATACTGCAAAGAGATGGGGCTGGGTCATCCATCAGTGTTCCAGAAGAGGGAAGTTTTCCTAGAATAGATGTAGCTTTTGATATTCAGGTCATCTGGGCTGAGAAATGCCCTTCAGGTATATTTGCTAGTGTCTGTGCAAATGGCGGCTTGGTTGAGGGGATCCTGTACGTTTAAAATTAATAGGCAGGAGTTGGACTGCAGTGTGGGAGTAAAGTCTTCCTACATATTTTTTAAAATGCAAGTAATTTTTTAGATCCAGCAATACAGCCAGATATGGCTTCCAATATCTTGCTTTGCTGCACAAACCAAGATCCTCTAATTTCTTTCCCTCCCATATACTCTGATTGTACTGGGAGAAT